GGCGTTGCTACAGAGGAGCTGAATTCTGGTCAGGCAGGACGCGGCACGGGCCAATTATGCATCAGGCAGGCTTGTATAAGGGTTCTACAGCGGTTGTTACTTGCTCGCCTTGTCGGTTTCCAGGTGCGCAGCGTCTTTTGCCAGATTGGTGCTGGGTCGGCAAGGAAGTTTAGGGTCTTCTGGTATGATAAGGCAATTTTTTTCAGCGAAAGGCTTTGTCGTGGGGAGAAGTGCGCAACGAAGCCTTGCAGGTAGGTGGGGCTTGGCGTTGCCATCCTCCAAGGTGAAGACCCAACAAAGGAAGCAACTGCCTGAGGCAACGATAGCTTGCGTGCTTCTCTGCACGTAGGTTTACCCTTAAAATAGGACATTTGTAGGAATATCTGGTGTTCGGTCTCAGAGGCCACGAGGCATGCCCTCGTTGCGCACAGTTTTCTCCGAGACTTAGCGGTGTTGCCTTCTTTGAGATGCAGGCCTTCGGCTTTGCGGACGTGGTGGCTCTAGGCAGGCATTTCGCTCGTCAGACTTCTGCCTCTTTTCCCGGCAGCTGGCAGGAATGTTGCTGTTGGGGGGGTGATTGTGGGCAGCGCTTTCTGCAGTCTTGCAAGGCATGCACAGCCATGGCGGTCATCGCGTCCCAACTCCTGGCATAGCACCTTGGCAAGTCTTTTCTGGCAGTGATCCGCGACGCCAGACTGTTGCAACATTTGACCTGAGGTTTCCCTTCGTGCCACGACCAAGGCCTGGGATGTTTGTCCATCTGGTTGTGCCCGTTGTGCACTTCGCTTGGAGCCTGGAAACTAGACTGTCCAGAAGACGAGTGTCTGGAAAATGAGATTTCGGCCGAGCTTCTGACCTGTTCACCCCTTCCTGCCTGGAACGGACCTCGACCCTTGACTCCAAGCCATCATGGCTCGAGCTCTGTCAGGACATTGGGCCTCCGAACTCCGTGCGCTTGCCGTGCTGTCCCGACACTGAGACCAGGTGTCGGGTCGAGGGCCCGTTAGAGGTTTTGTGGTTCTTTCGTGGTGGGTACTCAGGTCGCAATCTTGTTGAAGGGTATGATGGGGGCCTAGAAGTAGCATGGGTCACGGCCGCTTTCCTTGCTCGCGTTTGCTCTTGTTGCTGTTTTCACTGCTTCACTGGTAGTCCAAATGCTGCCCTTGCTGCTCTCACGATGAAGGTACTACTGCTGTCATTATTGAAGGACTAGCAGGTCATATGATACCGTATGCTCATCTTTCATTTTGATGCAGCAGCCAGCCATGTTGACTTCTAGTGAAACCCTAAACCGTAAACCCTGAACCCTAAACCGAAACCCTAAACACTAAGCCCTAAATCCGACTGTCGACCTCCGACCGACCCGAGGTTGCTTCCTCATTCGTGCCGGTGCCTTGCGGCGCGCAGTCCAGGAGATGCCGGCGGAGCAGGCCGCGGTTCAGGGGTTATAGGGGTCTAGGGGTTGTAGGGTTTGGGGGATTAATCAGGGGTCTTGGGGTTGTAGGGTTTAGGGTTTGGGGGTTTAGGGTTTGGGGGATTACTCAGGGGTCTTGGGGTTTTTTGGTTTAGGCCTGCGTCCTGAGATCCTGCAAAAGGCATGACTTCTTGCACGGGCTTTATGGAGCCTAGACTCAATACACACCTGTATCAATCTGTATATGCCTGTCTATCCGTGTGTATATTCCTGTCCATCTATCTATGTATCTGTCTATCTGTCTATCTATCTGTTTGGCTATCTACCTATCCGTCCGTCGATTGATCTGTCTATCTACCTTCTAGCCATTTGTCTCTCTATTTCTCTCGCTCTGTCTCTGTCTTGTCTGTTTGTTTGTCTGTCTGTCTGTCTACCTCTCTATCTCTATCCGTCTGCCTGTCTGTCTATTTGTCCGTCCGACTATTTGCGTATCTATCTATCCATTTACCTGTCTATGCATTTATTTATTGACCTATCGATCTATCTGTTGATGTATGTGTATCTATCTATCTATCTATCGATCGATCTATCTATCTATGTATCTATGTCGATCCATCTTAAGCGGAGTAGAAATGCCCACAAGCACTACCGCGACACTCAAGTTTCAGGGGCGGTATGTAAGGCCCCTGAATCCTGAACCCTAAACCCGAAGCAACTTCTTGCAGCACCTGTAGAGGGGACGCCCACTACCGAAGTCTACAGATCGCATTTGCAGCTGTTGAGGGACCGCCAGTAAGGGTTGCATTACCCAATACACCTTAATTAAGGAATATACCTTAAATTATAGGGGCGTTCCCATTATGATTTAAAGTATATTCCTTAATTAAGGGGTGGTGAATTTCTGAATGCCCATGTCAGAGGTCGCTCACCCATCACCTCTGCCTGTAAGGCATTCCGACCACTTCTACAATGCAGAAGGAAAAGGGGGATCAACAACAATAATAATAATGATAAGAAGAAGAAGAAGAATTATTACAGAAACCTAAGCAACTGCTGAGAATCAGAAGCCCTGGATCGATGAAGCTTTCAGAACCCGGGAAATCTGCAGCGCGCCCGAGCCATCCTGAGGCCCCGAAAAGCCGTAGAACCCCGAAGCGCAGGCTCGACTGGAGCCCTTGATGGAGATTCTGAGCTCGAAGCTCAGGCGGCCGCCGCCCGCAGGGACCCAATGCAAAGGCCCTGAAAGATTAGAATTTAGGGTTTAGGGTTAAGGGTTTAGGGTAGTATCTGCCCAAACCCGATTCGAATTGTTAAGGCTCCTACACCGGGCTTCTGCCACAGGAAGCAGAAAGAACTCGCATCCACTCCTCACTGTGCGACCGTTGCGGAGGGTGGGGCACTTGTTGCTGATCATCCCATTGCGTATGGTAAGCCCAGGTCACAGAGGCAAAAGCAACGACTTTCTAAAGCCGTTGATGCCTGGACCTTGGACCGAAAAAGCTCGGTGCAGGGATGGGGTTCCGATTTCGGAAGCCCCAAAGATATAGGAAACTTTGATGCATGTCTGAAATTGGCACCTAGCAATTGATTGTAGCGCCTTAGCCTGACGCCCTTTCCATGTAGACGGCTGCACAAGTCACGGGTTAGGAGCAGTTGAGTACCGTAGTTCATTCCCCGTGGTAGATACCTCGCTTTAAAGGCTGAGGGTTTAGGATTTCAAGCACCAAGGGATTCAAGACTCCAGCACTCAGCATGGCGCCGCCGGCGACGAAGCTTTCTTCGTAGCATGTATTCTAGTACCAAGCTCTCTTCAGTGACATGTCTGCCAAATCTTGGCCTTTGAACCCGAACTTCCTGCAGTTGAAAGAGGCCTGAGTAGTAGGATCCTCATTACAAAGACCAAAGAAGGTAGTTTGATTGACCCTCCCATTGTAACTCGCGCTTTGATTCCTAGTCTTTCATGAGCTGTAAGTAATCCTTCCGAACTAAGTTCATGCACTTGTGGTGACTCAAGCCGTTGAACTCAGCAGCACAGATGCCCTCAGGACCGCACTGCAGTGCGGTGAGGCTGCCAGGCCACATGTGTCACAGCCTGAGAGAAGCAAGTTCTCACCGATTCAGAGTGCCGACATTTTCAATTTTTATATCTATATTATTATAAAAATACAGAGATTTTTCTAGAAAAGATCAAGAGGCAAACTGCTGTGCACAGCCTCCAGGTTACACTCCTCAACAAGGCCTCGCGGCTGCAGAAGTCGGCATGCACCATGCTCTCCGCTGATCAAATGCCTCAGATGCAGGATTGCGGTTGTGCTTTCAATCTCATGCTTTGCTATACTGCTATACCATAGCATACTGTTGATGATCTAAATCCTGCATTACCTTAGGACCCTAAACTATGGGAATTATGGTGTATTCCCTATCCTGGGTAATGCAGATTTATATCATCAACCGTAGTGTACCGTACTATACCGTACTACGCCATACTATACTGTACCCTTTTATACTTTTTTGCCAATCTGTACTAAACTTTACTATCCTATCTTATACTGTACTATATTATACTATACTATACTACTATACCATGCGGTATGCTGTACTATATCTTACTATACCATACTGTACCAAACTATACTATACCATACCATGCTGTATATACTAATACTAAGCTATATGATACTGTCTTCTATTATACTTTACGATTGTACGGCATGTGTACAGTACAGTACTATGATAGACTATACTGCACTATACTACACTTCATCATACTTCACTATGCTATACATTACTATACTATACCATAATATGCTAAGCTGTACTTTACTATATTTTCCTGCACTATACATACTTTACTTTATTGTATTTATTATTATACTATACTATACTTGACTTTACTTTACTGTATTTTACTGTATTTTACTTTTATACTACACCATACTGTACTAATCTGTTCTATACTATACTATACTATACTGTACTATACTATGCCATACTATACTTGCCTATACTATACTAGATTATACTGTACTAACTAGAACAAAAATTGGAATACACCATCAGACATTATGACACGCTGCAACAAGTTCCGGCTTCATGCCCGTGTCCCCAGGCACCTTTTCTGCGAGGGAGAGTTGATCGTCACGCAAGGCAAAAGGACGCGAATCTGCTTCGGGATGCTTCATCCGAAACTCTTAAACTCTACAAAGTGCAGGGTTTTAGGGCCGGTTCAGGGTTCCAAACTAACTCCTACAGCCGAGAACCCGGGAGCCCAAACTAAACCCCAAACCCCCAAACGCCGAGTTACGGCCGAAGCCTGCGATGCCCCTTCCCTAAAGTATCCCGACCCAGCCTCGGGGGCTCTTCCCTAAACCCTGGCATCCTAGAACCCCAGGGGCCCTGGAGCCCTGGAGCCCTTTCAGGGGGCGAGGGGGGTTCAGGGTTTGGGGTTTAAGGCCCTAGACCCTTTAGGGGTTCAGGGTTTAGGGTTTAGGGCCCTAGACCCTTTAGGGGGTCAGGGTTTAGGGTTTAGGGCCCTAGAGCCCCTAAAGCCCTACACCCAAAACACCCCCAAACCCCCAAATTGCAGGAAGTTCGAAGGCTTAGTGCTGGTCCGCCGTGGCAGCGTCTCCATGCAAATCAACGGCGTGGAGGCCTCCTCGGGTGTGACGGTTGAGGGATTGGGGGGTTTAGGGTTAGGCTTCTAGATATTAGACAGGCTAACATAGTGGTCGGAATGACTAGTAGTAGTAGTAGTAGTAGTAGTAGTAGTAGTATCTGATGGCTATTCTGCTATATACATACATACATACATACATACATACATACATACATACATACATACAGCATACATACACACACACACATATATATATATGTATGTGTGTATGTATGTACATACGTATGTATGTATGTATGTATGTATGTATTTATGTATGTATGTATGTATGTATGTATGTTTACATATACACATATATTTATATGTATACATAATATATATATATATATAGATATATATACATGCATACATGCGTGCATGCATGCATACATGGATACCTACATGCATACACTCAATCAATCTACCTGCCGATCTCATCTATGTATCTGTGTATGTGTATGCATGTATGTATCTATCTATGTATGTATGCAAATATGTATGTATACTGCACCATAAAAACCTTGTTCCGATCATTATACCTCAGAGGGGCCTTTGTGTCGGCCTCGGCTCGACTTTGCAGGTGCGGCGGCTCGCCACGGGCCAGGCGCGGCTCGCTGCAAGGCTTCTGCTTTGTCCCAGGCATGGGCTTAGGATTTCAGAAGTTGGGGGTTTTCGGTTTAGAGTTTAGGAGTTTAGGGGGTTAGGGTTTTTTTGGTTTTTTATAGGTACTTCGGAACACTTGAAGGGATCCTTAACCTTCAAGCCTTCAAGGAACCCTAGCGAGGGTTTAAGGTTCGGGGGTTTAGAGGTGTAGTGGGTTTAGGGTTTGGGGGAGAGCTGAAGTCTTAATTCAACTCCAACACTTATAGAAGGTCTATATACCTTATAGAAGCCGTATAGAAGCCCTATATACCCTAAAGTCCCCACCTGTAGTTTTCTTTAATTTCGGGTTTACGTTTGTATAGAAGCCCAAATATCACTGATAGGGTTCCTGACTATAATCATACTATAAAGGAGCCCAAAACCCTTTAGGGTTCATGTTAATTTGAGACCATGGGTTCACTGGTCCAGGTCGTCGGCGAGGAGATGTTGATGAACGTCTCAGGAAAGTGGAGGCGGGACCTTCACCGGATCTTCTACGAAGGGGTAGTTCTCTAAGTCAGGGTCCCTTTGGGGGTCCTTTTTGCAAGGGCGCCGTACTACGTTTGGGACCTGAAAAGGGACCCTAGTTTAGAAAACGACCCTACTAAGCAAAATCATCTCTTGCGGTCCCACCAAGAGCTATGTAGATGACGAAAAAGCCCCAGGCAAGAACATTTTTCCTGAGAGTAACGTAAAGTACCGGACCCTGAACATCAACCCTCTCTCTATCTTTTTGTATCCCTCCCCCCCACGTTTGTCTTTCTATCTATCCTTCTTTCTTTCTGAAAACTCGGTAGGTTAGATGTTCGAGGACAGTACCTGGCTCGAATCGTACAGACCGTGGCTGCTGTACGTCTATTGTCCAGGGTGGCATTTTGGGGGGCCAGGCTTTAGGGATTAGGAATTTAGGGGTTCAGGGATTGGGGGTTCAGCTTTCAAAGCCTAAGGCCTAAGCTTCCCATGGCTCCGTGTCTAGCCTCGCTGCGGGCCTGCGGCAGGTACAGCCTCGTCTGCTTGTCCTTGTGCGACATTGTGATCCTCCATCGGAAACCATTCCTGGCCTCTGTCCGGCCCTGAGACAAAGCCGACAAGGACTAAAGTACTAAAGCCTAAACCCTAAATCCCCTAATACACCGCAAGTTTCTGCGAACCTTAAATCCACACGCTGAGGTCAAAAGCCTGAAGTCGCCAAGCAGTTCTGAGGACGTCCGACATTTTGTAGAGGTTCGCCGTTGCATCTCCTCGGGTTTCAGGGTTTCACAGTTTAGTGTTGAAACCCTTGGTTTTCCTCAGCTCATGTGCCAAACCCTAAACCCTCAAACCCCTAAATTCGCACAATCCCCAACGCCCTCAAACCCTCGAAAGCTCCAAGAATCCCAACCTCTCTCCCTGAAGCCTCGAGTCCAAAACCCTTGGACCCCCAAACTCTCCAATATAGGGGCCTAATTAATTACCTATACTGCTTGATTCCTGATCATAAGTATAGTATAATATACCCCAAAACCCCATTCTAACTATTAACGCCCTTTTTCTTAAACAAAGCAAGCCCTGCCCATGAACCCCTAAACCCTAAACCCGAAAGCCCAAACCCCCCCATGCCACTGAAGGAGGGCCAGGAGTGCCAGCACTTGCTTTCTCTTCTCGAGGGTCAATGGAAGGAGGCTGGGACCCTCAAAGTTGACTCTAGGGTTTTAGGGCATTTAGGGGCTCTAGGGTTTAGGGGTTTTAGGGGTTTAGGGGTTCTAGGGGTTTAGGGGTTCTAGGGGTTTAGGGGTTGTAGGGGTTTAGGGGTCTAGGGGTCTAGGGGTTTTAGGGGGTTAGGGATTTGGGGTTTTTAGGGGTTTGGGGGTTTGGGGGTTTAGGTTTAAACCCGAAGCCTTACCTGTTCCACCTTACTATGGTTTCTATATATAGTTCCTTAAAAGGGTAGGTCTTTTCGGCTACAGGTAAACCTTAAGCCCTTAGGAACTTGCCTCCTGCCGCTGACTGACGAGGGGTTGCCAGTATATCCGTATCCTAAACCCTAGCCTAACCCTCCAGGTACCTACTTTAGAGGGTACAAGAGCTTCTGGGGCCCTATATATTTGGTATCTGGAGGGTTAGGGCTAGCCCACACCCCGAACCCTAAACTCTATACCCAAACCCTCAACCCCGACCCTAAACCCCAAGCCCGAGAAAAAACAAACTCAACGCTTTCCTTTCCTCCCTTACACCCTAAACCCTAAACACCAAACCCCAAACCCCAAACCCTATAACCCTAAACCCCAAACCCTAAACCCCAAACCCTAAACCCTAAACCCCGGGGTTTAGAGGTTTAGGGGTTTACGGGTTTAGGGTTTTAGGGTTTCGGGGTTTGGGGTTAAGGGGTTTAGGGGTTTAGTCGTTTAGGGTTTAAAACTCTAGAAACCCGTTGCTCCCCAAGAATAGAAGGAGGCTGGGTAGCCGTGGCAGCCGGATGCATTGCTCATCCGAAAAGATGATAATTGTAATCGCAAGAAGCAAAGCAGATCAACCTCACATTCATCATATAATGAAGATAGTGAAGAAAATCAAGACAAATAATAGGAATACTTCTCAACCGAGATAGAAATAGCCAGCTGTTCTTATACTTGTAGCCAAACATTGTGCTTATCCTACTAGTAACTGTTTGTTTGCATCAGAGTTTGGTGAAAGCTTCTTTGGAGACATCGAGCCAGCCGAAGTCACGTATTCCGACTGTTGCGCGGTCACGCAGGAGTTGATCATTGTCTCCCTGCCACTCTTCCATGGATTTGACAGCAAGTTTCTGAGCTGCTTGGCTGCTGCAACGAGGTTTGTCTAAATGACACTAAACCCTGAACAGTAAACCCCTAAACCCTAAAGCCTAAACCCTAAACCCCTAAACCCCTAAACCCCTAAATCCTAAAGTTCTAGAGGATTTCGGACTCAAGCTTCAGGTTTAGGATTCGCGCAGCTTCGCAGGGCATGCAACAGTCCTCTTCCACGCCGATTCCTTGATTAGCAGTTTGTGGGCCTGCAGCAATCTATTGGTCGGGAGTCGGAGATATTCGCAATTAATTACAACATATGACCTTGTACTCCTTCTGTAGTTACAGCAGGAGGTGCGCTCAACGCCTTATTCTACATTGTGAGCCTTTAGATTATGGTGCGCCTTTCCAGGATGGGCGGCGATGGAGGTGAGATTCATTCCCACGATACACCACCCCGTGGTTATTTAGCATTCTGGGCTCCGCCACCTTGCTTGAGTGAAGCCTCAATCCCCATGACCTCAACCTGAAGCTCAAGCCTCAAGACGCTTGAACATAGCCCTTGAGTCCTTGAATACATTGCCACCGTCACCAGCTCTAGCTTATGGCTGGCAGTGTGCCCGAATTTGTAGCCTGTATGCTTTGTAGCTTTGCCTCAGCCTGAGTTCAGCCTCAGCAAACTGATTATACACCTCCCTCTCCCTTGCCTCGAAGAGGAATAGCCCCTGGATTGCCAGTGTGTCTTTGGGCTCGCATTGATGTACTGATGTACCCCCAAACTCCAAACCTGAAAGCCCTAAACCCCAAACCCCAAACTCCAAACCTTAAAGCCCTAAAGCCCTAAACCCTGAACACCTAAACCCCAAACTCCAAACCTTAAGCCCTAACCCCTAAACCCGAAACTCCAAACCTTAAAGCCCTAAACCCCAAACTCCAAACCTTAAAACCTAAACTTCAGTGGAGGGAATCTTGCCAGAAATCGCAAGTACTCCGTGAAAATGAGATCCGAGGCCTCCTCCCGCAGCTGATGGAGCTCCTTGGCTGAGATTTTCGGGAGTTTCCTGGGGGGGAAGGGTTTAGGATTAAAGGGGTTCAGGGTTTAGGGTTTAGGGGTTCCGGATTTATGGTTTAGGGGTTTAGGGTTTACGGGTTCAGGGTTTAGGGTTTAGGGTTTAGGGTCACTTATTGAGGCTCCTTGGAATGTCCAAGGGTCCGAGACGGGCTTTTGGAAGCCTGTGACTAATCAAGATGCTGCGATTCCGTTTCCTCTGGCTTAGTGAGTTCTTGAATTGCAAGCCTTCAGTACTGGAACGTACTGGAACCTTCTGGCTCTTATAAGTATACTTGACTTTGTGGCACTGTCGCATGCCATGCGTGCATGGTTGCGGGCATTGGTAGTCTAGGTTGGTTGTGCGATCAGCTCCACGGCATGGACGTAGGCAAAGAGCAAGTGTGTTCGAGGTGTTCAGAGCTTTGAGTGCTTCAGCCAAGGATGCGCGTCGTTTTGCCTGAAAACGAGATTTGGTCATCCACGTCCCAGGCCACGCCCATGGCCCATTGACTGTGCCAGTCCGAACCGGAGGGCTGTCCATTTAGGATGCAGCGTCCTTCGTCTGCGCCCTGTCCCGCATGTGAGACGGATTGGCACGCCAGCCGAAAGATAAGAAAATGTGGTGTACGACTGGCCAGGAGGAGTGCCCAGAGTGCTCGCTTTTCCAGCTGCTGAGAGGCACCGCAGAGGAGATTGGGGCGAAAGGGGGCGATGTCGCGTTCGTGTTGTGGAGCAGTGCACAGCCAGGAGTTCTTGACGATCCAGCGGAAGCGCAGGGCTTCTGCGGAGCAGCTTGCCTACTAGTTACTAGTTACTAGCTGATGGAGACGAAATGCAGCAGAGCGCTCAGAATGTGCAGCCGCGCCGCAATAAGGCTTCAGCGCAGAGGAAGCGCTCCTCTGCTGAATCGGACGTTCGATCGACTTGTGTAAGCTCAGAGAGAATTCGAGTCGTGCCTGAAGGTCAACGGAGAGTTCCAGGCGGGATTTTGTGTGCTGGTAGGACCCATAACTTCGACACTCCGTATCTGGGCCGAAGATCTGTGCTGGCCTGGGCCGATTCCATGCTTTGCGAGTGCCGCTGTGCGAAATCCTTCGGGTCTTGTCTGTCTTGTGCCATCGATTGAAGTGCAAGAATGACAGGGTTTGCTAACTTTCATAGGTTCTGGTTTTCTATTTCGGGATTGGAACTTAAGGGTTTGGAAAAAAAGTTAAGGCGCAAAACTCCTGAACTCAGTGGCTCTGGAATCGATTGCGAATATTCGATTGTGCCATGCATTCGGCTTAGGTCGTGTGCTATAAACACATATTAGATCAGACGATCAAATCTTGTGATCTTATGTGGGATCCTATAAGATCCACGACTGGTAATACAGATCTAGTATGCAGTGTGCAGCTACTTTATTCATGCATGATTCCATGTGATGCTCCCGGTGGACGTGCTCACAGTGGACACGGTGCCGACCTGAGATCTGTCAGATCAATCTGCACCAGCGTGTGGGATCCGGGGAGATGTGCGGGGGGGAGGGGGGTAGGGGAAGGGGGATGGAGGAGAGATTGAACTATTGACCATGGAGTCTAGCAAGTGTGCAGTTCTCATAGTTTACCATACGTCAGATCTCTGTGCACTGGAGGTGACTGCTGGGACTTTGCACCAGCAACCGACCAATCAAGCAGGACAAGCTCGCGACGGCCAGAGCCTTGAGCACAGTGCTGAATGCATCCGGCTGTGCGGATTTGTATACTTGTGTCAATACTATGCTCTTTCGAAACGAGATAGCTCCTGGTGACTCCTGGCGCTATTTTTTGGTCCGAACTCGTTCTAAGAGAGGGACGAGACAAGGGCACCGCTTCAAACGAAATCGGGCAGAGCTGCGCTGCCACTAACGAGACAAGAACTCGATCCAGTTTTCATGCCTAAACCCTAAACCCTAAACCGTGATACCGCAAGTAGCCTAAGACTTAAATAAACGCATCGGCTCATGTTTTAACAACAGCATATCCCGTCACAAATCTTATACATCGGCTGACAAGCACACAGCATGAGCTGCCAGCATGCAGTAACCATTAGGCCACTTAGCCATGGCTGATCGCTCGTCAGTTAGGCCGAGGCGGCGGAGGTCCAGGTCATCAGCGGCACCATCGACACAACTGCCCCCGCCTGACAGGACAATACCAATACCGTGGCTAGGTCTTCAAGTTCCACTTCCACCTCCAGGCTACTTCTATTTCGAATGGTACCCGTGGCTTGCGGTACCACCGCCACGGCCACAACCTCGCAACTAGGACAGCAGCTTCATCCACCGCCGCTTTCATCGCTACCGCCATCACCGCAGCCGCCAGAGCCAACCCCGCAACCGCGAAGACCACTCACAGAGCAGGAGATGCAATGGCTGGGTCAACCACAATCACCATGCATACCACAACTACATCCATCGGAATCGCCGGGCCCGCAACCGCAAAGGCCACTTACAGAACGGGAGATGCAATGGCTGGGAGTCCCAGAACCACAAACACCAGACCTACCACAACTACCATCGGCATCGACAATCCCGCAACCGCGAAGGCCACTCACAGAGCAAGAGATGCGATGGCTGGACCCTCAACCACTCTCGCCGCCACCACCACCACCACCACAACAACAACGACCACGTATGGAAGCGGCAAGTCGTAGATCAGCCAGATCAGCAGCTCGGTTTGTTATTTTGTCATCTATTTTGTTCGGTTGCTGCATGCCGCTTTAATGATTTGCATCCGATCATCATGTCATCCCCACAACCGAGGCAACACCAGAGAAGCATGGAGGCATGGCAACCAAGCGGTCGCGCAGAGATCAGTGATCCGTGGGTGAAAAAAAGACCTCA